CCCTGCCCGCCCCGGGCGCCCCGAGGGCCCCTTGCCCGCCCCGGGCGCCCCGAGCGACCCCTGCCAACACCGAGCACTCCGAGTGCCCTCCGTGCCCCCTGCGAATCCCGAGTGCCCTCCGCGCCCCTGCCCGCCCCGAGCGCCCGGGCCGCGACCCCTAGCTGAGACGCGGTCCTTGGGGAAAAACAGTTTCTACTGCAGACGTCCGGGAGAGGCCCTGCCCCGTCTAGGGGATACTTTCGCGACTGGAGCGGGTGCCGCGCAATCGCGGCGTCTGTGGGGCGCGCGGCAGGAGCCGTCGCTTGCACCTCTCGCATCGCACCTTGGGGGACCCGCAGGCTGGACCCTGGCCCGGTCGGCCCCGGGCTGGGGCACAGCTCCCTGACTCCTCCTTTTCCCACAGGAGCCATATGCTGGAGGAGTCGGGCCAGACGCGAGGCTGCGCCGGCAGGAGCCCAGGGGCTACCCTGAACCGCGGGAGCCCGGTGGGCTCCCACCCGCTGATCACGGCGAGGACGAAGGCCGGAGGCCGTGTCCCTGCCCCGCAGAGGGGAACCTTCTCGTGCAGAGCAGTGGAGCTTCGCCCCGCTGCGCGGGCGCCTTAAATTATTAGATTATCTATGTATTTATTTGATGGTTAGTAGTCGTCAAACCATCTGTCTTAATATTTTGTTTTTGCATCATTGTGTCCATTCCAAATAAACTGCTTAAGCTGTTCTTCCTACCAGCCACGTGTGATGCAGTGAGGTTTCTGCCGGGGGTGGGGGACCCCTCATTCAGTGTGTGTGTGGAGGGGGAGCTACCGCCCGGCGTGGGAAGGGAAGGGAGCTCCCTTTGAATGAACGCAGTGTCGTCAGCTGGGCCCTGTCCACACCCTCTTTGCCAAGCAGCCTGTCCAAAGGCCGGGAAGTGCCCTGGGTTTGGCCCTGGCTGACTTCCGCTCCTGGGTGAGGCCGCAGGAGGACGGGGCCAGTGGCAGGGCTTGCTGGAGGAGGTCACTCACGCGCTGCCCCACTGAGGTCAGCCCACTCCTCCTTCTGAGCTGCTCCTGAAATCATTCCAGAGGCTGGACCCCAGCCCCTTCCCACCCACACGCTCCTGCCCAGCCCTCTGCCCTCTGGCTGGCTGCCCTGCCACGCTCCTCTTGACACCACCCGGGCTGAGCCCTGGCCACTCCGGGCAGCCCAGCTGCCAGGCCCTGCTGGCTGGCACCCGCAGTGTTGCTGCTAGTGGGTGGGCTGGAGGCCTGCGCCATTTCTGATGGTGTGGCAGGAGGCTGAAGACTCCAAGTGTCCGGGGGCTGGCCCAGGACCCTGACTTTGGGGTGGGGAGGCCTGAAGGACCTGACAAGGCAGCAGCTTGCACTCTCCCTGCCTGACTGCCTCCTCCGCAAAATGGGGGATGGCCCGAGACAGTGTGTGTCCAGGGCTGCCCCATGAGGGGACCTTCGTTTTGGGGAACTTTGTGGCTGGAGGGATGCTCGGTGTGGGAGGCAGAGACCAGGGGAGTGAAGGATCAAAATTGGGCTCCAAGGTCACTCATTTACCTTTGACCTGGGGAGGCCATCACAGGCCTCCTAGCTGGGAACCCCGGGGTCAGACTGGGGAGGAGGCTGTCCCTTTGCCAGGAGGCCTGCAGAAGATCTGGGCGCTGGGTTCAGAGAGGAAATCGTTCCCTGCAATGAATTTTCTCCTGAAGGGGGCCGGCCCGGTGGTGCAGCGGTTAAGTGCCTGCACTCCGCTTCGGCGGCCCAGGGTTCCCAGGTTTGGATTCCGGGCACGGACCTACACACCGCTCATCAAGCCCTGCTGTGGCGGTGTCCCGCATACAAAATAGAGGAAGATTGGCACAGATGTTAGCTCAGGGACAATCTTCCTCACCAAAAAAAAAAAAAAAAAAAACCTCCAGAATTTTCTCCTGAACAGCACTATCTGTGAAGCCCCTGTGCAAATGGGGAGGGGGCTCCTCCAGAGAGGAGAGAAGACCAGCCCCAGGACACGTGCTGACCCTGGGATGGACCCCCTATCCTGCCCCACCTTGGCGACTTCTCCCACCAGAGCCTCCTCTGGATGACTGACCCTGTTCCTGGTGGGGTCCAAGTGGAGGTGGGGTCTGGCCCGAGCTCTTGGGCAGGAGGGTTGATGGACCCCGGTTCCCTGAGGCCCCTTCGTGTGGAAACTATGGAATTCTGAGGTCGGGGATTCTGAGTTTTAAAGGCAGGCAGCCTGTGTGGGTGGGGGGGTGGCCTTCAGAGTCTCAGGGACATCTGCAGACCCCCAGGAGGTTGTGTTCTCCATACTGGTCGTCGGTCACAGCAGCCACTGGCCTCTCTGTGCCCCGTGCCCCTTTTCTGTGGAGCCCGGGCTGGGGGGCAGTGGGGGAGGGCCGGTCTCCCCGGTTCCCGGGACCTGCTGCCTGGGTCTGCCTGCTGGGCTCCCTGACACAGAGTGAGGGCCCTTTTCCTAGATCTCCTCCCAAGCCTCCAGTTCCTTATCTTCTCAAACAAACACGTTTCTGTTCATGAGCGGGGGCTACTGCCAGGACTATTGAGGGTGTGTGGGTGGCGTGCTCAGGCGGGGCCAGGGATCAGTGTTGGGCAGGGACGGGCAGAGAGTTCCCCGTCTCTGGGAGTGTGAGCAGAGCTGTCGATGTAGCAGGGAGGACTCCTCACTGGCCGTGGTGGCAGACTCAGGCAGGGCCTGCCTCACATCAGGATGCACTTGAGTGATTCTGCCCTTCCCAGAGCTCTGGGGTCCGGCTCCAGGCGCCCTCCTCCAGGAAGCCCTCCAGCATTCAAAGCTCCCTCCCTCACCCCCAGTCTGGCTCCAGCCATGGCCTCCCCAGTCTGCCTGTCCTGCCTCTGTGCCCCCCACCCCCTGACCGGATGCAGGCAGGCCCCACTGGCGGGATCCTGCAGAAATCAGGCCGGAAGAGGTCCCAAAGGAGTTTATTGCCAGTCTGTGCCCCCGGGGCTGTGGTCACCAGACTTTGTCCGTCTTCTGAAGCATAGGCTGCCTCCAGAGGACAAGGAGGACAAAGAAGTTGACGGCGAACTGCACGTGGCCGAAGATGGAGACGCCAAAGCTTCGGTAGAGGAGGCCGCCCAGGGTGGGCCCCAGGGTTCGGGTCAGCGGCTGCACAGAGGCACAGAGGCCCAGCATGGTCCCTGCGGGGCAGAGGGGGTGGTGGTGAGTCAGGCCCGGGCGGGTCCCTCACACTTCCTGGACAGAGCTGTGGCCTCCCCAGTCTGCGCTGTCCTCCCGCTGTGCCCCCCCAGCTCCCTCCACCCCGGCCTGTGGGTCGTCTCCTTGCGGACCACCTGACCATGCAGGGGCCACACTGGGTGCTGCTCCGACGTGGGGCTGAGCCTCCACCCTGCCCCAGAAGTTCCCAAGCACAAGAGGAGTCTGACCTGTGGGAACGGGCCCACAGGGGCCAGGCCCACCCTCCCAGGCCTGCCAGGGAGATGGCATGCCAGTGTTGGGGGTGGGGGGACTGGGCTGCAAGGTGGGCCAGGGCACCCCAGTGTCACCCCCACAGTCTCCACTGCCCTCCTACAGACTGGAGGGAACACTCCCCGCAGGGCTGGGAGGGGCTTCAGGGCAAACCACCACCTGCCTCTCTGCACCCACTCCCCGGGCTCACCCGGCTGCCTGCACCCCCTGTTCCCTGACACCCCCATCTCCACACCCCTCTTGTCAGCTGTGCCCCAGGTGGGCGAGCATGCGTGTGGCTACTGTCTACCCTGACAACTCTGCCCAGAGGGTCCTCGGCTCCAGGGGCTTCAGATCCCGGCTTTCTGGGAGTTGGAAAGCCCGGGCTGGGTCAGCAGGGAGCAGCCTGGTGAGGCCCCGCCTGGGCTCAGGGCCTGGGGTGGGGGAAATTTAAGAGCAGCCTCTCCCATCGCCCACACACCCTGCAGACACTGGGGAGCAATTACCGCCCCCTCTGTGGTCTCCGGTTCCCAGGCTGATGCTGGGAACCAGCTCCTGGCTCCTTCTAGCTGAGGAGTGGTGCTGGGGCTCAGTGTGGCCTCGTGGTCTGGGTCTGCTCCTCCCTCCTCCCCGCCAGGCCCTGCCCTCATCTCTCCAGGCCTTGTTCCCCTGCATCCTCCCTCCTGGCCTCTCCAAAGTGCCAGCCCACCGCCTCCAGGAAGCCCTCCAGGACCAGCCTGGCCTCCCACAGGTCCGGAAGGCCTTGGAGGCCCCCAAGGCAGCCCTGAGAAGAGCTCTTGCCCGTCAGCTGCCCTGTTCCCATCCCGGCCTCTAGACCTCGGGCTGCTCCTCGCAGACAGGCAGGTGGATGGACCAAGGGTCGCCCAGGCCCCCTGGGCCTTCTGGGAGGCCTTTGACCTCAACAGCCCACAGGAGCCCCCAAACTCAACCTGTGCCGTGCCTGGGATAGGGTGGTGGTGGGAGCCGAGGTACCCTCAGGCCCAGGGCCCCCCAGTCTGCACGGGAGACTCCTAGGCCTCAAGAAAGAAGCTGGGTGCAGAGTGAGGGCTGGGGGTCCATGTCTGGGGGCACCTGTGTCCCACTGGGTGGCCTAGGGGCTTCCCAGATTTCACTAGCTGTTGGGTTCATTCACTCACTTGTTCACCGAGGAGACCCCAGTGCCAGTGCTCTGCCAGGAGGGAAGCCCCTCCCTGTGTTGACCACCCCCTTCTGGCGCTCCTTCCCATTCCCCACCCACCGGGCTGTCTTCCCAACTGGCTTCTGCAGGGGCCTGTCCAGTCCACACCTCCACACCTTTGCTCAGCTGGGCCCAGCCCAGAATGTCACCTTTCCCTCCCCCTTTCTAGTGAAATCCTACCCACGCTTTGGGAGCGAGTCAGATGCCACCTCCAGGAAGCCCTCCTCCCATCCCCCAGGCCTGGCCCTGGACTGGTCAGCAGGGTCTGGCGCAGGGCTGGCAGGGCCCAGCTGGGCTGCGTGGTGGGCACAATGCTCAGCTGAGGGCCCCTGTGGCCCACCACCCCCATCCTGCCCACTCAGACCCCAGGCCACCCACCTCACTCAACACCCACTGGGTGTGTGCTGACCCAGCCGGCAATCAGGGCAGCTGCTCCACCTGAAACTGCCCGGCAAGCTTCCCAGAGAGGAGGGCCGGGGTCTCCGGGGGGCTGCCCTGCCCCGGGCCTGGGAGGCCACACTCACCCGTGTCTGAGGCTGAGACGGCCTTGGTCAGCATGCTGTCGGTGACCACGTTGAGGGCACACAGGCTGAAGACCAGGCCGGGCAGCAGGAGGCAGAAGTGGGAGACGTTGGACATCAGCGCCTGGCGCGGGCAAGGCAGGGGGCCACAGTGACTGCAGGCCGCACAGGACCGGGGGGGAGGGCCAGCCTGAGGTCCCGTAGAGGTGGCCCTGTGTGGCGGTGGAGGGGGCGAGGGGGCCTAGGGGCTAAGTGCAAACTGGGCATGTGCAGAGGGTGGGGGGAGCGAGCCCGGGAGCCCGCTGTTTGCGGGCGGCAGCCCGTGGGGGAGCTCTCACCATCCCCAGTCCCACCATCATGAAGACCAGCACGCTGGCCCGAAGCAGCGCCTCCTCTGAGAAGCGGCTGCTCAGCCGCCTGATGACCAGGCCCTGGATGACCTAGGGAGGGAGAGTGGGAGGGTGGGAGGGGGTCTGTGCTGCGGGGAACCTCCCTCCCCACCTGCAGCCCTTGGGGGTCCCTGCCCAACGCCCAGCAGCCACCAGGTCCAGGGCAGAAGTGTGGGCCCCGTGGTCCGCAAGTTGGCTCCAAGGTCCCTGGGGAGACAGGGGCAGCCTGGGCGGCGCGCGCGCGCGCGCGCACACACACACACACACGCACACACGCACACACGCACACACACACACATGCTCGGCCAGCCGCTCATAGGTCCAATCATCACATTCAAAACTAATCTCGTCTCTTGTTTCAAGCATGATAAACATATTTTAATCAAAGAAGGGCCAGTTAACTGCTGATGGGGGGTGGGGGAGGCCATGGCTTATGGTACAAACAAAGGTCTTTGATCATTTGAAAATGCTTGCAGCGAGGCCCTGACCCCAAGCCTGGGGACCCCTGTGGCCCTGTGAAGCCCCTTCCAGTGTCCCCCCGCTCCCGTGTGCCCCTCACCTCTCACCGCTCTCCCTCAGCCCCCTCTGTGTTCCTCCCACCTGGGAGGTCGGAGCTGCCCATTTCCCAGATCGGGAGACTAGGGTGCAGAGAGCAGTGGTTGGACTGGGAACCGAGCCCAGTGTCTGGGTGCCCAGTGGCGTCCTCCACCCAGCTGGCCGGACTGAGGCCTGGCCCTGGCAGGCACATCAGCTGCTGTCTATGGGGGCCAGCCCTGTGTCAAGGACTGGACCTCCTCGCCACACCCTAGGAGGACACGACTCCAGTTACAACCGGGTAAACTGAGGCCCAGAAGGCTGACATCACTTGCCTAGAGTCCCAGAGCAGGCCAGTGATGGAGCCGAGGTGCAGCCCAGGGGGGTGGACGGTGAGACCCGGCACCAACCACCCAGTGCCCGGGCCTGAGCCTGCTCGGGAGGGGTCCCCAGAGGCAGGGGCAGCCAGACTCCCCAAGGCCGCCCGCTGTTCCCTCCATTATCCCGCAGCCCTCCACTCCCAGCTGTGTCCTCCTCGCCCTCCCCAGGGCGCAGCCAGCTAGGAGCTGGGGTAGGTTAAGGCGCCCACTCCCCTTCCTGCCCCCAGCTCCTCTTCATGAGGAGGGATGCCCAGGGACACCAGGGACGTGACTCAGTGGGCAGGCCCAGCCCGCAGGCCGCTCCCAGGCCAGGGTGAGGCTTCCTATCTGGTCCTCTCACCTCCTCCACCAGGCAGGCGGGAAGTGCTCGGGGCACTGCAGGCTTGGGGCACTGCAGGCTTGGGGCAGAGCCCACCAGGGCTGGGGGAGCCGGCTGGGGGGCAGTGCCCGCCTGGGCTGGGTGGGGGCTGGGGCGCAGTGCCCACCTGGGCTGGGGGGCAGGTTGGCTGTCAGTGCCCTCCTGGGCTGGGTGGGGACTGGGGGACAGGTTGGGGGCAGTACCTGCCTGGGCTGGGGGGGGGCCTCGGGATCAGTGCCCACTGGGGCTGAGGGGTCTGGGGGGCAGGCTGGGGGGCAGTGCCCGTGGGGCTGGGCTGTGAGTCCTGGGGCGGGCCCAGCCCTGTAGAACAGGATCCACCACTCTGCTCACTGCCTGCCTGGCGTAACAAAACTGTTTCAAACCAGAACCAAAGTCCTTCCCCCCAAAAAATCCGGCTTTCAGACCTGCCTTATCTCGGTTTTGTTCATTTGTCTGTTTAAAGGAAGGTCTACCCGGCAGGTTTCCCTGAGTGCAGTACACCTGGGAGAAACCACAGTATGATAGATTTCAATCGGCCTCAGCATTTCATTCAAACACCGAGACCAAAACCCTAACGTACCAGTATCGTCTCTCGAGTTTCCCACTAACTTAAAAAAAGCCTAAACTTCCATGCCTTACAGGTTATTGCATGAAACTAGAATTAACGAACTCGCCAGATGTTCCACTTTCTCCCAGCCCTCCCTCCCACTCTACCCTGGCCCCGCTGGAGCCTCCCCAGCCCCCTCCACGGTCCCAGCGGCCCCCTGAGCAGTGGGTTCCACGCCCACCCTCTGACAGCAGCCAGGGCCAGAGGGCTCCGGTAAGCCCACGTCCAGCCCCCGCCGCCCCGGCCTGCTCCATCCTTCTGGCCCCGCTGACCACCCCCGTCCAGGTCTTCAGAGCCCACTCCTCCCCACTCAGGCTGGCTCAGCCACGACGGCCACAGGTGTGTCCCCACCTCAGGGCCTCTGCACATGCCGCCTCTCCCACACCCTGCGGTTCTCTCATCTCAGGGTCTCTGCTCCAGCGGAGAGCCCCCCACTTCTGCCCCTCTGCCCTTCCAACGACATCCTCCTTCGAGTACTAGTCACCCCTGACACACCAGATGTGTAGGTGGTGGTCTCCCCCCAGTATGATGGAAGCCCCCCATCCCTGCGGTGGCACAAGGCCCTGGGCGTAGATGAAGGCCCAGTGGGGGCTTTCACGGGAGGGTCTGTGAGGGACAGAGGTCTGCAAGCCTGCCGGGTGACCACTGTCCCCTCACATTAGGACCATTTGGGCTGCCACTCCCTGCCAGTCCCTAACCCCAATGCCCCCCCGCACACAGGGAGCGGGGGGGCAGGGAGATCCCTTTGGGATCAGGCTGCAGCGGCCACACCTCAGGGAGGGGCATGCCTTGCGGAGGGAGGCAGCAAGTGCGAGACCAGCTGTGGGGGGCCGGGGGTGGGGCATGGTTCCCCCTTCAGCGGGCTGCCTCTCTGGGACACTTGATGACCAACCCTGGATGGGGACGGGGAGGTACCTGATGAGGCTTCAGGCCTCTCTCTGTGCAAACAAAACCCAGGTCCCAAGCCCCGTGTTCCACCCGAAGAGGTTCCAGACACAGCTCAGGGCCTCAGCTGCACCGCACCCTACCCCACCCGGGCTGGACTTAGGACCTTGGGGTCTGGCACACTGCGTTCCTCTGCAGGCTCCCTGCTCCTTCTCTGAAGGTCCTCCTGCCCACCCCAGACCTCCCCTGGGGCTCCTTCCCCCAATCCTATCCCCCCGCTGCCCTCCAAGGCCTGGCTCCCCCGAGGTGTCACCATCCTTACGGACGCTGCGGCCCCAGGCCCTCTCAGGTAGGGTCACCATCGTGGCCATGGCAGGCCAGCCCCTGCCCCCAACCAGGCCAGAGGCTACCAGTGTCTGTCCCTGAGGGTCTCGAGGGGTCTTCTGGTTCAGCTGGGGTCAGCCTGGGTCCCCTGGGCCCGGGGTATCCAGGACACAGCTCAGACTGGTGCTCTGGCCCCAGGCAGGCTGAGGGCAGCCATTTAGAACAAGGCTCCCGCGGCCCTCAGTGTTAGAGTGTTATGATTATTGTTTCCCGTTCATCTGTGTTCTCCCCGACCAGGCGGCCCTTCCCGGCCCTGTCTGCCTCTGGTGGGGTGGGGGCCGGCCCCTCCCAGGAGCAGCTATCTCAGCAGGAGGGTCTGGACCAGTCCTGGGTCCAGGGGCGCGGGAGCAGATGGCTCGGAGGTGCCGGGAATGTGGGCCACTTCCGGAGAGCCGGGGGCCCCTCCCCCGCTCAGGCGGGTCCCAGAATAGCCCCTCCCGCGCTCCGGCTGTCAGGCAGATGTCCCGGGTGGCAGCGGCACGTCACCACCTGTCCCCGTCACCCCAGGGCCTGGTCCAGATGTCCAGGAGGAGCTGGCGGGCGGCTGGGCTCGGGCAGGTCTCGCCCCAGGCCTGGAGCTGGGGGTCCCCGGGCCTGGCAGACAGGACCCTGCCTGCTTCTAGGCACCTCCTGACGGGGGGCTGCGAGTCTTGGGCCTCCCACAATGACAGAGTGATAGCATCACTCCATGGGGCCCGCCGAGGTGCTCTGTCACCTTAGCTCATCTAGTCTGCCCGCCGGCCCCACGAGGGGCACTATGGTTTGACAGAAACGGAGACCAGAGAGCCTGGGAAACCTTCCCAAGTCACACGGCTGGCGGGACGCAGAGCCCGGCCATTCTCCTGTAACACACGGCCCCCCCGCCCCTGGGTCTGCTCCTCTCCCTGTCTGGTCCACTGCCGGGTGCCCAGATGCACCTGGTGCACCACGGACCCCTGACGTGCTTCCAGACAGGAAGCCAAGGGCCCCCCAGCCTCCACTGGGGATGAGCCCCCCCTCCCCTCTCAGATGGGACCCCTAGGCAGATGGGTGGGCAGACAGGCTGCGGGCACGTGGGCCTGGGGCCGGGCGGTGGCCTGCTTGCAGACCCACGCGTGAGATCCGCGAGCAGGGAGAGGAGGGCGAGGCTGCTCAGAGAGGCGGGAGGGGAGACCGTGCAGAATTCTGGGAAGGCGGGAGCACAGGACAGCACGAGCGCGGGTGAGAAACCCAGTCGGGCAGGCGTGGAGTCCGTCACGTCTGGAGAACCCCGGCCCACCCCGTGGTACGCCCTGTGCCCCCGGCACCCACTCACCATCTGGAGAATGCCGAAGAAGGACGTGAGGTAGCCGGCCTGGGCGGCCTCCAACTGGAAGAAGTCCATGGAGATGATGGAGAACATGACCATGAAGAGCCCTGGGTGGGGCGGGGAGGTCAGGGCTGCTGTGGTCCTGCCCACTCCTCCCTCCTGTCGGCTGGGGTGGCAGCCCAGGGCTGACCCATCAGGATACCAGGGGCCCTGGCCACAGGGACCGGTTCAGAGAGGGGCACGTGACACCAGCTGGACCGATAAGAGCCTTCCCTGAGATTTTTCCGGATCCCTGGTAAGGGAAGTGCCACCCCTTGGGGCTGCTGTTGGCTGTGAGCAGGCAGGTGCTGAAAACTACCCCACGGACAGAGTAGCCGGAGCCCAAGGCATCGCAGATGAGGGCAGTTGGGAGACGGGGGACCCGGGGCTGGTGATGTGGGAGGATTTGGCCCCAGACCCACTGGTGGCCCTTAAAGGCCCTTTTACTGATGTCGGTGACACAGTTCCAGTCACCACACCCAAAGAGCTGGCCTGGATCCAAGACGGAGCTGGCAAGGGCCTGGCCCGGAAGCCCCTTGCCTCAACCTTGGACCCCGAGACCCCCAGAGCTTCAATAGGTTTGCAGGGGCATGCAGAGAACTTGCTGTGCGGGTCAGGGGTCAACCCTTTAGCCAACACAAAGCATCTGAGCACTTTTGAACGGGACCTCACTAGTTTGTTGTCTGGGCTGCTCCCCGGGTTTGAGGACCCCGGAGAGGTGCTCAGAGGGGTTGCCACGGACACAACGGTGATGGGTGATGCCCTCAGGGTCCACTGAGAGGGCGGGACACAGGAGTCTGCAGAACGTGTGTTCTCAGTCAGACTCACTGTCTTCTCTGCTCCTCAGATTGTCCCCAGAGGACTTGGAGACCTCAAGGCGGGACCGTTAGAACCAGCGGTAAAGTTGGAGTGAAGGGCTCCGAGCCGGGCCCTGAGGGGCTGGAGGGGACGAGGAAGACACCTGCGCTTCTCTCCTTCCTCCTGGGCTGTGCATCTACGTCTGCGTGACCCAGGGGCGTCTCCCTCTCTGGGACAGACAGGACTGGATATAGCGCAGGGCAGGCTGGAGACGGGGCAGGCCCGGGGCACAGGACGCAGGGCAGAGGGAGGGCGGTGCCCTGACCACGGACCTCTGTCCCCTGCCCAGAATTCTCAGCTGCCCCAGGCTCTGGACGCCCGGCGGGGCGCTCAGGGACTCACCGAAGGGGAAGCCGCAGACCACCTTGACCAGAAACACGGGCAGGACGCCCGGCTGCAGCAGCAGGCGAGTGATGGCCTTCAGGTCAAACACGCTGGCCTTGGATCCACCTGGGGGACGCGGCGAGGCCTGTCAGATCCCCGCACGGCCCCGGTCCCAGCGCCCCACCCCGGCCTAGCCTGGCTGCAGGGGCCGGGCCTGGAGGTGTCACTCTCCCCTGGCCCGCTGGCTCGGGGGAAGCCCTCCTCTGGAGCGCAGAGTCCCACACCTGTCACGGCGGAGCTCTCCGCAGCTTCTCCTCCCTCTGGCTTTGGCGCCTGCTCACGGGAAGGGGAGCTGGTGACTCTCCCGGGGCCCCCTCTCCAGCAGCCCCCTGGGTGGGCACGGGCAGCTCACCACACTCCCAGGCCTGGGCCCTCAGGCCAAATTCCGGGAGGCACCCAGGAAACACTGTACCTCTGCTCTCAGGCAGCCTGGCCCGGACCTGGGCCCTCGCTCCCCAGCACAGGGCAAGAGCAGGACCAGGCCAGCGCGGCGGCCGCTGGGGAGCAGGGTCCACTTTCTGCCCTGCCCCCTGCCCTCTCCCTGCCTGGCTTTCCTGGGGGCCTCCTGTGTCCCGGTCTCCACCCAAGGTCCTGACTCTGGGTCGCCCCTCACAGCCACGGCTCAGGGGTCCCCTGTCCCAGGATGGCTCCAGATGGGTCCCTCCATCCCGGAACGTCACTGTCCCTTGGTCACTATTCTGTGCCAGGCATGCAGCGGCTGGGCCAGGACACCCTGGAGGGGGCCCCTCTGAGGAGCCCCAGGAGGCATGTCGAGCCTCACAGGCCCCAATCTGGCTGTGCTCTGTCCCCACCTCGGTGCTCCCCTCACACCATGGTGCCTGGGTGCTCTGGGCCTCAGGAACCTGGCTTACCCTCCCCTGCCCACCCCATGGTCCCTCCCTGTCCACCCCAGGCCCCCCCGGGTGTTCCCTCCTAACGCCTCCCCTGCCTCAGCCCTCAGCCTGCCTGACCCCTATCTCATGCCCTCCACGGACAAGGACCCCTCCAGGTCCACACCTAGCTCAGCTCCGATGGTGTTGGCAGCCGGGAGATGCCCGGCACCCGGAGGGACTCAAGGAAGGAGAGAGCGCGTGAGTGGCCCATGCCCCACACGCCCATTGCCTGGAGCACACACGTCCACCTCAGTGAACGGGAAGCCACCATGGACACTTTGGCATGTCGTGGTCTCGGCAGACTGACCCTGAAGGGATGGCCCCGGCAGAGGAGGCCTGGCCCGAGGTCCGGGTGCAGGCTGGTGGGAGGGGAGGGCTCATGCCTCGTACCGGCCGAGCATCCTGGCACAGTGAACCTGGTGGGGAGTGCATGGTGGGGTGTACCTGGTGGGGTGTGCCTGGTGGGGCATGACTGGCGGGATGTACCTGGTGGGGCGCACCTGGTGGGGAGTGCCTGGTGGGGGGGTGGCTGGTGGGGTGTACCTGGTGGGGCGTACCTGGTG